TCCAATATACAACATATATTTTAGAATATATATTTTAGAAACACTGGTTTCATCAAGATAAATAAAACAGTACAAGAAAAAAAATAACAAAAATTTGAGCTGGCTTTGCTTATAGAATTTATTCATCCCCGTATAAAATGCAATTGGACAAAAAAAAACCAACTCTGCCTTGGAAAATACAATAAAATTAATATTTTACAATTTAGTACGTTCAATTTCTGGAAAATGAACAGATGCTTGTGCTTTTTACTAATACCCAACCCAGCCCATGCCAGCATTGCAGAAAGCAGATATACTCACCCAACAGGTTAATGATCCCTTCGTTATAAGCTGCAAACAGTCTAATGGCATCTTTGAAGAGGAGCATGAAGGCAGCATTAATCACACCATTTGTAAGTTCATTGCTATTGACCTAGGAGGATTAGAAAATGGTTAATTCAACCAACTGATCCCTCATCCAAAAACTCCCAGCAGAACTTCACCCCAGACACGTTTCCCAATCATCTCAGACTATTAGTAGAAAGTAGCAGCAGAGCAAATCAACAGAGGATCTCTCAGCAGAGGATGAACCAATGTTAACCAAAATTAACATTAATTAGCGTAACTAAAAGATAGTAGGACAGAAATGAAGCAACAATTAGAGTAATTCTCATACATTGTACATAATTGAAAACACTCAGAACATCGAGTGTTCCCTCTAGTAACCATCATATTCCTTTTTCTAGATGTTTGGGTTATACCCATAAAAATGAATTATACTCTTTAAGCTAACTAGGTAAAATGGCCACAAACAGATGAAAATGGAACAAAGATTTTAAGATGCTGAAACATTTTATTTCCTGAGCTTGTTCAGATTTGTACAAAGCTGACAGTATGCCGGGTGCACCCACTGTCAAACTTACGTTGAAATCAAGAAGTGCATCCATTTGATTTTGTATAATTGGTACGGTTTTTAGGAGCTTTTCTGTGCTCATTGTTCTCATCACTCCATCAGCCCTATTGTGCAAAACAAAAGAAAATTCCTTAACTGGATTATGAAGGAAGTTATTAATGAGAAACAGAATGCAGAAAAATAAAACAGTTCATCAGGGAAAACACTTAAATCGTGGCCCCAAGAAACAGGCCTTCTGAGGCTTAAAAAAAGCTGTCTGGCTGATACACTGTAATTGTAATGTACAAGAACAACATTTGATCAAAACATCATTCTAAAGTGTTCCCACCCTTCAGAGAGAGAGAGGAGAGAGAGAGAAAAAAAAAGAAAAAAAAAAAAAAAAAGTGAAGTGTAGAAGAGCGAGGTGACAAAAAAGCCCTTAAACATGGATAAAAATCACTAACAAGTCCCTAAGCCCCTTTCAGAGAGGCTCAGAAAGCCATTTTTAAAATGACTTTTGGTTGTTTGTTTTTTAAACTTATGCTGTTCTCACCTAACTTATTGCATGACTGGGTAGATTATTTTCTTTTAAATCAAAAACAGTAAGAAGTTAACAAACATGGCAATACTTTCTCAGGCAGCTGATAGATATAACACTTCCTTTTAATTGCAGACTCCCAGTATTTGTGCATGAATGATGCTGTAATGTTATTTGGTTCTGTATTTTGCGAGGCAGGAGGAGAAATATTAAAATACCCACAAAAATGCTACAAAGAGGAGGCTGGGAAGAGGCTAAATCAAAAACCTGTTATCAGGGTGGGCAGACTGTCCTCAGAGGAACAGCTCATCTTGCCTGCTCACAGGCACACGCTGGGGTGGGATAACTCACTTCACTAGACTCCCACATCTACCTGTAACAGCTGGGGCTCTCTCAAGTGTGCCCACAGCCACCTGACTGCACACACACCCTGCACGTAGAAAAGAACAAGGGTTTTTTGGTATGTGTGTTGTTAAAACTCTATCCATCTCTAAAGGAAGTATGAGTGGAATGAGCACTGTCATTCTACTCTGCCACTTAAGTTTAAGACAAAAGGGACTCTAGAGTATCAGCAAGGAGTCAGAAGGGATTTGGAGGTTCTCTCAAATCAACTACAAATGCTTCTACAACACTAATGCAAAATATTATGATGCATGTTTCTACTGTGGTTAACTCATAAAACAGTTTTAAGTTGAGATTCTCTTGTGGGGGAGAATTAAGTTTTCGTCAGCATGAATTACCCTGTGCATGGAAAATAAAGGATGATCAAATGCAAAACTGCAGCTATGTTTTAACTTCAAAAAGCACTGGATATGGGCAGATATACTGTGCAAAGAACAAAAGATCTTCAACCATGACTAGCAAATCTTCCTTTTTTTCCTCATTTATTCCACCATCTTCTCTACCAAGGGAGCTATCCAGTTACTGGTGATCTGCACTACATAATTTTACGCATAATACCCACCTGATCTTAAATGACCAACTTCTCTTATGGGGGCTCATTTCAAAGAAAAGACATAGGACCAAATGCAAGGTAAGTAAAAGAAATGCAGTTCTTACCCTCTTTTTACTTTTGTGAAGTCAAAGGCCACCTGTCTATAGGAAACTGCCTTTTCATTCAGGTACCTACTATACCGCCTGATAAATGTTGACATGTCATACCCTGAAAAAACAGAAAGTGTTTCAAAATCTCCTCATTTAGACAGAAAAGAAAACCTTATTCTAAATAAAGTCCGAGTTATTGAAGCACAACAGTTTCAATATATTTTTGCCTTTTTTCCCCCCTAAATGACCTATCTGTATTAAGAACCTTGCAATTGTGTTCACCATGTCAAAGCTACAACATAGCAAATACTTAGAGGATCCAAATAAGCTATGTGGAAATTCACTTTAAGGAAATTACTCTCAAAAAGAAAGAGAAAAAAAAAATAAAGCAAGTTTTCTTATATTAGGATGGAAATTATTACAAAAGAAATTTCATGACTGAAGCAGTTTGAATCAGCTCCAAAATATATACTCTCATTTGCCAAAGAAAAGTAGCATTGAAAAAAATATGAAAGGCTGATGGAAATTCAACTACATTAAGACAGTGACAGCAGCTTGATAGTTATCAAAAATATTACATATTCATACAGGTCACAAATTACTATTCAGGTCTTTTATCTTACAAGGAACATGTTTAAAAGACGTACTTTTAAAGAAATACTTTAAGACAATAAAGATGTGTTCATGATCTATCACACCCACTGTGGATATTTTAGTGCAGTTGTGGCAGAAATCAGGACTAACAACATAGGAAGTGAAGTAAAAAGCAAGAAATGGCTTCAGAGACAGCAACGTGTATAATCAGAATTGCACTTAACTGCTGAATAACAATTTGGAAGGATATTTAAGTTGAAAAGTCTGAACCTAAGAGAAATGTATTTACCTGCAGAATTAGTCTCAGTGATAGGCAGAATGGTCTGTGGACAATTTTGAAAGAAGTTTTGTCAACAACAGTTCTTGTCTCACTGAGATAATTTAAAATGTTCATGTGGTGCTTTCTGAAATTTAACTCACTGATCAATATACACCTTTCCAAGCAAAAAAGTCATGTCAGAAATAACAGGTATAATAAGTCATATCTGTTTAACTAAAAAGTTGGCAGCATTTCTAGCAGGCCTTTTCTAAAAGAGGCAACAAATGCCTCAGCAGACAATTTCTGTCATGCCGTAAGAGCATTGTAAATGAAGAAATACAACTCTGGGTAAAGCACACACAGAATAAATGCATCTTAAATGACAGGGTCCATCATAGTTAGAGTTCTATTTACCATCCCCAGTATATAACTGATTTTTAATGAAGAAAAGACACCTTACCTTGCAATCCACTTTTGTCTAGGAAGTTGCTCAAATTAAACAATGTGTTTCTGGACGCCAGATACTGGATAAAACGCTAGATAAAAGAAAAAAAAAAGTGAACCTTTTTCATGTATTACAGGTAAACTGGAATTGATACAACAGTACTTGAAACTTTTGCTGTCCAGCTTGTGAAATGCAACTTTCATATAAAGACTCCTCCTTTCAAACCTGGAAATTACAAAATCTCAGTTAAATTTGAATGTTAAACTAGTTATTTATTTCAGTATAAAAATCTGAAAAGTTGATACTACACAGATATTTGATGCATGCAGAACAAAGGCCTCCAAGACTGTTTATATTAAGCCAGAGAGGTATTAAAAGCCTCTTAAAATATCCCAACACCTCCCGCCTCCAGCACACACACAAAGCACCCACAGTTGGTATCATTTGCCAGGGATCTTTGAGAGTATAATCCTAAGAATATTTAGCTTTAATATACAGCAGAAATATTAAAAACATAAGGTGACATAAAGGTTATACATATATATACATGCATATAAAGTAAGCATTAATATGGTTAGTATGTCCCACGTGAGTTACAGAGTTTACTTATCTCAAAATATTAAGCCGTATTTCAGTTCGACCTGAGTGGGCAGGCCAAAAAACAGTGCAATTTCCAGTTTACCTCTTGAGGCTTCGTTTTAAAGACAGAAATTTGTCCATGAATTAATACACCTTTGTTACCTGTGATGTATTCTCTTACATACAAGATAACGATTTTTTGCGGAAAGGTTCTTTTTAAATAACATAAAAAACTTGCATACAACTTGTCTCAGAATATGAGTCTTAACTTATTTTGAATGACCGATGCTATTTTGATCTAGCGAAGAACCACTAGCAGCACATCTAAAGTTAGCATGAAAAACAACCCATCCAAGTGAGACAAGATTTTGAAAATTATCATCAGTGCAACATGTTCTACTCAATTACTTTCATTAGCATAAATATACAGTCCAAATAAAGAGTGAAGAGAGTTAAAGGCACAGAGTGCTCAGCTATAAATTAAGCAAAAGCTGAAGGAATTCACAGACTCGCTTTAAAAGTTTAAAGATTTCTGTAACCATTCAATGATTTTCATGTTAACTGTTCAAATGCTATTTGTAGTTGCAAAAAAGTTGCATCTTGAGTGGCAACTTTATCCCCCTTGCTGCTGTAAACAAATCTGGCAAACAAGATGTCTTTGGCAGTTTGATTCCTGAAGTGGAAAGCATTTCAGGCAGGGATCTTGTGAAATACTTTGAATTATTTTAATTATTTTAACATATTCCATTATTTAAAACCATACTGATAATAGTTTAAAATGTGTATGACTCAATAGAGCAAAGTGTACAAACAGACTGTCTTTTATAAAATGCCACCTATCCTGATGATTGTGCTTAATGATAAAACGAGAAGTCTGCCCCCTCGTGGCTTGCTTAGCTTCCAAGAAGAGATCTATTATATTTTCCACAATACATAATCTGTGACAACTTTGAACTGAATGCAACTGAAATAAAGAATTTTGGGCCTCGTTGTAATTTTCTAAAGCTACCCCTATTTAATCATCCAAGAGCAAAATACCCTCTGGGCAGACAGGAACTATTTTTAGGTATGTAAATCAATATCCATTGTTTGTTTCATCATCAACATTGGAGATACACTGACAGTGTTTCTTTTAGTTTGTTTGTTTTTAAATAAGCATTCATAGTTTAGCAGGCTCCCTATGGTTAAACAGCAGCTCAATCATAGGCTTTCCAGTCATATGGAAAAGGCTTCTATTGCCAACAGTGATAAATGTTTCATGAAAAGAAACAGACAGTGCAAGAAACAGTATTTTTTAAGGACTGAAAGGCCCCACTAATCTGAAAGTTAAATTGCAACGTAGTTTGAAACCTGTAAACTCTCCAGAGCACGTGACAACTAAAGCAGGGCAACTGCACCTATGTAACCCCTAAATTTAGCTTTATTTGTTGAAAAATATTTTCTTTCCTTTTAATCACAAGTTTTGCACAAAAACACCTCTGGTGAATGCCGGTTAAGTCTCTTGGGAATAGGTCTGTCGTGAAACTTCAGCTCAGTTTTTCACATACATTTATCAGGATTTTAAAGCTGCTCTTTACTGTTATGCAGAAATACGGTCTGTATTCCATTTTAAAAGGAGTTTGTTTTCTTATCTATAGTAAGGACTACCTCTTTGAAAGTATCTTGAACGAACCAGCTTTGTGTTTAAAGAGAGCTTCTCACAAGTGAACAAGCAAGGGTCCAAGAACACTAGTTACATTTTGTAGAGCTCAGATTTCAAAATCTGGTTTCATTCTGAGAGCCAGAGCTCCAAGTTTAGCATTCTGCAAAACTAAACTCCCATTTTGCCAAAGCCCACTGGAAATAAAAACAAAAATCTGCCTTTGGATAGCATCTAGGTTTTAATCAGCTCATAAAATTACAAGTTTAGTCTATTAGGTGACTGCTACTCTTCAAAGAAGTAAAAAGAAAAAAAGCCTATATCAAGTATCCTGTGTACGAGAGATTACAACAGGATCAGTTTTGTTCCAAGGTAAAGAACAAACTTGCTTTGCAAGTCTGCAAGGAGCAAGACCAACATCAGCTCTTAAAATAGCCAAATCTCCACTGTAGTGAGGGATCATATCCTTTCACAGGTGAGAAACACTCCGGCATTAGACTAACTGGAATCATCAAGAATAAAATATAGGTTTTTATAAAAGACATTTAAGGAAAAGCACAAAAAGGGAGATGCACAGTTTGAACCTTGGAAAAAATAGGCTTCTTCTCTAAGAGAAGATAAAGGATTGCTCTTCTAAATCCCAGCAGCTTCAGTTCATTTTTCATCTGATGTTAAACACACATGTCTGTGGTACAGTCTACACCATGGCATCTTGTAGATACGCAAGGTTTGTAGTGACTGCCAAGTGTAAACTATGAAACACGGGTTCTTCTGTTTTTATTCCTAACCCTAGATGGGTAGGAGGTTGAAGAATTTTACCCTTTATAGACTGACCAAAGATTATTTCAGGGGGAAGGCAGATATTGCACATAGTTTGCTCTCAACATCTAAAACATCTAAGCAAAAAAAGACAGGCAATTCCTTGCAAATACCAGCACTTTTTGCTTTTCTACATTCTCCATTAGAGAATTCTCTTCAAGGCTTGCATGCAGAACAGCATTTTTCTTAGTTATTCTTTACGCCAAGTATCTGCTATGGATAGTTACCAAGTGTACATCCATTCAAAAAAAGAAAAATAAGTTAAATGAGCATAGAGATAGATTTAAATATTTACAGTTATGAGTAATTATGAGATTAATTTCTAAAATCCTGCGATTTACATTAGATTGTTTTCAAGAAAAAAGAATGTTTGTAGACACTTGCTAAGAGATGGAGAAAAGTACAGGCTTTTAAAAAGGAAGAAAATCTCAGTCACTATGCACAGCTTAATATTTCAAAAAATAGGGTGTCATAGGAATTCAAGCTGTGGAACAGAACATAAGCTTACTTCTTTTAAGAAGATATATTTTTAATTATGCTAGAGTATTTATTGTTACATAGCAGCTGTTTTTAAAAGCCTAAGCTCCGAGACAGACAGATTTCCCTTCACTACAAAAACTTTGGGGTGGGAGGAGGAAAGAAAATCATCCACAAGTTGAGCTATTTTGGAGGAAAGACTCAGTCTAGATCAGCCAGAGAATAAACTGAAAATATACCTTTCATTTCAGGTTTCAGAATCCCATTCAAGTTAAGTTCCTGGCTTTTTTTTCCCCCTTCATAATAAAAACACTTGCTACAGAAAAGGGTACCTCAAAGCACACAATTCTGCATTCGGGACAGCATCTAGTTTTCGTCTGACCATTATGGACTTCAGAGTGAAAACAAACTAAGCAGACAAATATATAATAAATCCTATTCATATGCAGAGCTAAGCAAGAAGGCAAAAACACAGATTTTCTTACAGAGATAATTAGTAGAAGTAGTTCTCTGAACTTAAAGAATTAAGTGCTGTAACTGCTTTCAGGTATATATTTTTATATTACCTCATTTCCATACACCATTAGATGATGAGTTGTGATGAGAGATTTGAAGACCACTACCCAGCTACTGTTGGTAGTTCTTTCAAACAAACTGTCTGCCAGTTGTGGGATGTTCACATTCATTTCATTTGTGCACTGGATTAAATCTGCAACACAGAAACAAAAATTGTGAAAAATTGTAATTGTGAAGATCTGTGAATTAGAAAACGAAAAAAAAAAATCAGTACACTTAATTTATAAAATAATGTTTTCCACAAGATTTCCAGTAAAAGGAAGGACTTACTGATAACTATGGTGGAGATGATCTACTAGAACCTCGTGATACAAATTCCATTCTCCTTGCTGCCAAAAATTCCAATTCCTAATTGCTTGTGCAGTTGCCTTAGAAGGTCCCGGAACAAAAGTACCCTAATGATTTGCACTATCTTTGACTAACGATGACTACCAGCTTTCAGATTCCATGAGCACTAAATGCTTAAAGAATTCTCAGATCTGCTACTAGCTAATGAAGTCTTGTTGAAGGACTGTGACCAGAATTATTTCAAACTCAAAAAATTCCAACTGTCTGGTCTTCTAGTGAACGAGTACGCCTTTCTAGCAATTGGTTCCAAGTAATAAAAAAAA